GTGTAGCTTACAGTGTGTGTGGCCGGTTAGGCGGCGTGCACTGGCCACTGTGACTAGATTAGACTTGTGTGTGTGGTTCACTGGTTGTCCAGCATGCACTGCAGCATGCAGATAGATTCTACACGATACACACGGGGGGGGGGGGGGGGCTGCGGGTACATGTACCATAAAATGTCGCACTTTCTCTGCGCGCGCACTGCAGCACGGTCGTGCATGCGCATGCAAGTTGGAAACAACTAAAATAATTACTTGAAGTGCAGCCCAGGAAGCACGAGGCGAGTGTCGACAAGTACTTCACCTGCTTTTGAGATTTAGACCGCGTTCCTTCACTAGCAGTAGGCGTCTCGACCATTCAGGACTTATCTGTGTGCTTGCCTTATCGATGAAGCCTCTTCACTGCCGACATGTCTGTAAAGCAAGGTACTGTGGAGAAGTGGATTGCTGAATTTGATCCCAAAAAAGAATGGATTCGCCAGAGTCGAGTGGTGGAGCTGTGACCAAGATAATTTGCAAGATGTGCAGGAAGAAGGCGTCCTCGCTTCGTGGTTTGAGGAATTACAGCACGGCGTTCGTTGACGGTATAAGTGGAAGTGCACTGAAGAAGGACAACGTTGCCAAGCACTCTCGCTCAGATATGCATACGAAAGCTGTGAATCTGGGGCGAAATGTTACAATGACACTTCAAGATATTTACAGATCGACGCCGCTTGGAAAGGCGATAGCTGGTGCCAATGCAGAGGACCACACGAGACTGAAGAAGCTGTTCGAAGTTGCCTACTTCGTTGCTGCTGAAGAGTTGCCGTTTGCAAAGTACCCTGGGTTAGTAGATCTAGAGAAGAGACACGGCGTTTCCTTTGGGTCGACGTACTGTGCTCCCCACAAGTGTAGTGAATTCGTGAAGATTGTCGGTGAGACGATGAGGGATTCCGTGCTGCAAGAGATGAAGTCGTCCAAGTTCATGACCATCCTTATAGATGGATCTACAGACAGCAGCGTTAAAGAGAAGGAGCTCATGTATGTATCGTATGTGAGTGCTGAACAAGGTGGTGTACAAGCTCACTTTCTTGCACTGAAGGATGTTGCGGACTGCACTGCTACCGGTCTGATTCAGTGCATCGATGAAACCTTTATCTCTCTCGGAGTCAACAACTGGCGCTCAAAACTCGTCTGCATGTGCATGGATGGTGCGGCGGTAAATTTGGGTGTCCGGCGCGGAGTAGCAGCACTCCTCAGAACTGAGTATGACATGCCATGGCTTATTGCTGTCCATTGCTTTAATCATCGCCTGGAGCTGGCAGCGAAGGATGCGTTTAAGAACACCTATCTGGACGAAGTCTCCAACATGCTCATGAATATCTACTACGTGTATCATAAAAGCCCAAAGCGCCTCAGGGATCTTCGTACTGTGGCTGAAGAAATGGATGAGCAAGTGACCAAGCCTGAGAAAGCCCACGGCACCCGATGGCTGCAGCACAAGAAGAGGGCTGTGAAAGTGTTGCTCAACTGCTACCCTGTGCTTGTTGGTCACTTCCAGTCCCTCGCAGAGGCGAATTCAGCTGACAGTGCCAGATTCAGGGGCTATCTACGGCAGCTCACTAGCTTCAAGTTTGTGTCTAACCTGCTTGTTTTCGACGCCATGCTCACTCCTCTGGGTGCTCTTTCGACCAATCTGCAGTGTAGCTCTGTTGATCTGCAGTTTGCGGTCTCCAGTTTATCTGCGTGTCGCACAATGGTTGATCGCATCCGAAATGATGAATGTCCTGACCTGACACCGCTCCATAGTCTTCTTGCAGATATCGAGGAGTACTTGGACAGCAGCGATGCCAATGAAGGAGTTTTGTTCAAAGGAATAAAACTTAGTGGTGTCACTCGAGGCAGTGTGAACGAGTTAGAGCGCTCCCGCCCGGCATATGCCGGCGCAGTCCAGCAGTGCCTTGACAACAGATTTCGAGATCTGGAGACTCAGGCAGCCTTCAAGGGTGTAGGCATACTCAATACATCAACCTGGCCTGGCGAGGAAGCAGACCTAGACCAGTATGGCGTCGACACCCTCACTGCTGTGTACGATCACTTTGAACAAGTCTTAGACGGCGCTGATAAAGAGAGCCTGGTTACCGAGTGGGACGCATTCAAGTCCTTCTGGAAGGCAACATGCAGGCAGCTCAGCAGCAGTGATGTCTGGGTGGTCCTCTTCAAGCACCAGGATGTGTATCCCAACCTGTGGCTTCTCGTCCAGATTCTGTTGCTCTTTCCTGTAAGCAATGCAGTCGTAGAGCGTGGCTTCAGCGCAATGCGCAGGATCAAAACCGACTGGCGATGCAACCTGAAGGAGTCAACCCTGGACCACTTGATGCGGATCGCCATTGAAGGTCCCGAACCAAGTCGATATGATGTGTCGAAGGCAGTGGAGCGCTTCTTCAGCACCCCTCGCCGCCCAGATGTGCAGCCCTACAAGAGAAAGCACACAGAGTCTCAGTAACAGTCAGTCATTACAGAATTATCTCAGCGTGGAATTATCTCAGCATGCAGTTTAAGCCTTACCTTCGTTCACTGGACATGGCTAGTTTAGTTCCTCACAGCGTCCACGGTGCATAACTGAGCCTTCACTTCTTCAGAAGTTAGTAACTTCCTTCCCGTCAAAGATCAATCTATTATGCAGCAGCGTTTTCGACTTGTGTTCTATTCATCAATCCGTTGTAAGACCCGCATTTCTCTAGAGTCTTCTTCTTCTTCCTTTTCTCCTTCTTTTAACCATGATAATGATGTACTTGTTCGGATTTCAAGTTCCATGTTGATGGCATTGTCGACGGAAAAAAAACTGCTATGCAAAATTGTTGCGCTGCTATGCAAACGCCGGGGTGTGTAGCAATTACTGCTACGCAATTTTTTGGAAGTAAATTAGTCCCTGTAGTTAACTAACTTGCTAACCAAAATTGGGATGAAATGGGCTGCCAAGTGAGCATTGGCGACATTATAAACAAAGCTGAAAGATAAGCGACAATATCGCTGACGCGGACCAAGTAACACTTACTTGCTCGAAACTGACACAGGGACGAAGTGTAGCTCGTGGCTGGAACACGGAGTCACGCGGCACTCGCTGCCCTGAAACTGGCCAGGCTCGTACTTGCGGTGCGTGGCCCCATAGATCTACGCAGCGTGAGAACATAGATTTGTTTCGCTCGCACGGCAAGATGAAACATTTCAGTCGTCGTGCAACCAGCGCAGACTCAGGATCAGAATGTTTATGGCCTGGCTTTCTTCGCCTCTCTCCAGTCAGACGTCTCCTTTGTCGCCAAGGGGAATCGCACGGGCCTCCTCGAAGCCATTGTAGAATGCTTGGGAGGATTATCCTGGCGAGAAAATGCGAAGCGTGTGGATGTGCTTCTACGACTCGTTTCACGGCATAATGGAGGTCGCGGGTTGGAACAACTGAATATAGTCGACACCGATTCGTACACAGCCCTAGAGATGAAGAGGACGTAGCCAAAGTCCAGCGTCGGATCATCACTGCAGGTGACAAGAATCTGAACGAAATGCGAGCGGAAGCAGCGACTGTTGGCGATGCGGAGTCGGCGTCATCAGGTGACAATGACATGAGCGACGAAGACTCTGAAAAAACTCAATCTCATTCGTCTGAGTTGCTTTTTTCTTTGTGTATAGCTTATAAACAGGTTAGACAATGCCACAAGTGTTATTCCGAGTCAAACGGAACAATTCCAGAGCTGTGCGCAGCTTTCAAAAAAAAGTCACGAAGTTTTTGTATACGGAGGAAGTAGTCAAAGTTTGGGAAATCGTTATATATGCGGCTCGTTAGAATAATGGCTTTTACAGTAACTAACTATCGATCCTGTCCGGTTCTTACCCACCCTTTAGTTGTGATGAGCTGAACTAGGGCTGCAGCGGGTAGGGCTTTGGTCGCGTAACAGGTTCAGCTATTTTCATCCGGGTAGCACGGGCACCCTATCGGGTTTTTTTTTACACAGTTTGTACTGTGAGTGCGCACTTGCACTCCATAGAAACCCTGCTACCCGATCAAATTACGGGTAGCACGGGTACCCTACTACTCGTTGACAACCCCCAAGATGAACTGCTGGAAGAAGTACAAGCCAAATCACATGGATGGTGGTGGTGAGTCATGACACCCAGAGTGTGCAGCGCTGGTGGGTTGCCGTCACGGCGAAATTCCGGGAAAACATCATTATTTTTTAGTGATGATGTAGTGTGTACAAGCAGGATTCAAGCACGTCTCTTTCAGTTGCACGCACTACGCCATTTCTCGCCTCAGATCTACACCGAATATGATGCAGTCCCCGAATTTTGCCGCGACAGACACCCATGCAGGAAAACGTCAGAAGCTGCACATTCTGAGTTCCGTGTACACTGGGTGTGGCGCAACGCCCACACAGTCATGTACTAACCTGTGGTAACTTTGACGATGCGCACTGCCTCGGTGACGCCACGAGACGTGGTTGCCTTGCAGCGATACTCTCCGTTGACAGCGTTGGTGATGTTGATAATGGTGAGGACACCGGTTGCCAACGTGCCAAATGTCTGAACAAACGTCATGAAAAATGAAAGATAGAAAAGTATACGGCTTGGGAGCAAGAAATCAGGGCAAGCTTTTCATTGGAGACTAAAACCTAGGAAGAGGCCAAACTTTGAGCTGTTCACATGCATCAAAATATATACAGCTACCTGACTGAGATCATGCAAAGGGCTCAAATTCAAAATGCGATAAAGACGAAACCGGAGCTTTTTGAGTTTTTTTGTCACGAAAGAAATTCGTTTTCACCCCACGGACGTCTGTGAGTCTGTTTTCATAAACAGCAATAACAACAGCACCCAAGCTGAAGGGTAGTTGGCTGCAGCCAGATGTGCCAATCTCGCTGCGCTCGGCCGGCGAGAAATACAACTTTTATGACAAAGGCCGGCGCAATGTTCGCTTACCGAGGTGTTCATGGCGTAGGTCTCAGAGTTGGTCACCAGGCCGTTCGGTCCGGTCCACTTGACGTTGCCGAGCAGGGTTCCCACAAACGTACAGTTCATGGTGAACAGACGTCTACCCTGCGGTATGTCTAGGGTTGTCTTGGCCGGTGAAAAGTGATCCAGGGTAGCAAGCGCTGCATGCAAAACACAACAAAGAAATTTTAATATTGCACAGGGGCGTAGCGGGCCCCCTTTTAATCTTAAGGGGGTGCACGGCCGCTTGGTACATGTAGCATGGCTGGTGCATGTCAACATGGCCATTTTATGAAGGTCGAAATTGTTAGGAGGGGGGGGGTGCACGTGTCCCCGTGCCCTATGCGGGTTACGCGCCTGTCGCAACAAGGAGGATGAGCTGAAGAGACAATGAAATGTTGCAAGTAGTCCAATGTCATTTCAGCTCGTCCTCCTTGTTGCGATTTTAAAATTGCTGTCTCCTTGCCGATTGCTTAACCCTTTCACTGCTGGCCTAGTTTCCCCCTGCCGGCTAAGCTTTCAGCGCACTTGCTTGCATTTCAGATCCTGCATGCACGTCGCCGAGCAAAATATTTCGCCATGTTTGCATTTATTGATGGATTTCCACGATCAATGGCTTGTTGGAAAGGCCTGAGCCAAGCGGAGACTCTCTGGCAGTTCTCAGCTCCATAGGCATGGCAGCGTCACTTCTATGTGCCCTAGAAGAAGCCCTTGCATGTCTCATAATCGCTAAACAACTTCATGATACATTTTCGTTCGCCATCTCTCTCAAACTAAACCAAACTTCTCCGATTCAAACTGCGCTGCAAAGCTGAGATCCAAGCGCTTTTTTTGATGCCCCACACGCATGCGCTGTAGCAAAGGGAAATCCCCTAAAAAGAAGCGAGTCACGAACAAAACGTTTGGCCAGAAAGCGTATTTTTGATTTTTTTTTTGCGATGCTATTCGTCATAGCTCACTCAAATCTAGTCCTATCGCAAAGACCTTTATATCACTGGAAAGCTGAGCTCAATACCTTTCCAACGGTATATCGTTTGTGAAAATCGGCGGCCGTTGTGTTACGACAGTTTGTACAGTGATATATGCACTTTGTACTATTGCGTGGGCTGTGGAGCAAGATATCTCATCATCCGCCGTTCAGGCACACTTTACAGAGCGAGATATCTCGTCATTAGCACTGAAAGGGTTAAAAATACAACAACAAAAAACCTATCCATTAGGTGTTGCAGCCATGATGTATAGACCTACTGTGGCAGTTCTTGTCGTGCGTCTCTGGTTGCCCGTCGGGACACTGACACACAGGGCCAGTCCTGGGTGCGGTCAAGCAGCGCGCAGCCTGACTGCAAGGGTTTGCGTGCACCACACACGCATTCATCTCTGGGACAAAGAAAAACAATTAAAAAAACAATAGATTGAAACAGGTGTAGGGGTGGAAGAGAAACAAGGAGAGAGAAAAGGTGAGAGTGAGTGACACAAGAGAGAGAGAGAGAGAGAGAGAGAGAGAGAGAGAGAGAGAGAGAGAGAGAGAGAGAGAGAGAGAGAGAGAGAGAGAGAGAGAGAGAGAGAGAGAGAGAGAGAGGAACAGACAGATGGAGATAGAGAGACAGACAGAGACTGATAGAGAGACAGACAGAGACTGATAGAGAGAAACAAGGAGAGAGAAAAGGTGAGAGTGAGTGACACAAGAGAGAGAGAGAGAGAGAGAGAGAGAGAGAGAGAGAGAGAGAGAGAGAGAGAGAGAGAGAGAGAGAGAGAGAGAGAGAGAGAGAGAGAGAGAGAGAGAGAGACAGCGAGAGACACAGAGAGAGAGAGACAGCGAGAGACACAGAGAGAGAGACACACAGAGAGACACACAGAGAGAGACACAGAGAGAGAGAGAGAGCCAGAGAGAGAGAGCCAGAGAGAGAGAGACAGAGAGACAGAGACAGAGGAGAGACAGAGGAGAAAAAGATAGGAGAAAAAGAGACAGAATAAGAGAAAGAATGGAGAGAGAAAGAGAGAGTGTGTGAAAAGCCGCGGGTCAGAGAAACGGAAAGAAAACAAACATAAGAGAGTCTAGTGTAGGGGCGGCCGAGTCATACACCTCTTACTCGCCTACAATAAATCCATATTGTTAGGTGCCTCCTCCTGTACAATCTTACCTACAAACTTTCCTAAGCTGGCCGGCCTGCATGCACCCGTACTACGTCATACTCGCCTTTCGTTCCGTTGGCCTGGGTAGCTACTTGCGCGCGCATGTTTGCCATAGCTACCCAGGCCCTTTATATTGCGCTGTTTCTCAGTCGAGCTCTCTCTCTCTCTCCAATAATCTCGCTCTCTTCAATAATCTCTCTCTCTCTCTCTCTCTCTCTCTCTCTCTCTCTCTCTCTCTCTCTCTCTCTCTCTCTCTCTCTCTCTCTGCAACAATCTCTCTCTGACGACTTGTACTGAAGACCTTGCCTCGAGTCCGATTCGCTCCGTCCGTCTGTTGTTGTGAAACATCCAACATAGTTTCTTGTTGGGTGTGTCGTCACGGGTTTGAAATCGTGAACGAACTGCCTCTACGCTCCTCGCCACGCCACACAACAAAGGACCAGTACAAATTGTTAGAGAGCTTTTCTTCTACTTCATTTCAGTAGGCGACTGGGGAACTCATAAAGAAGAACCAACACTGACAACGAACGTCTGACTCTGACAACGAATGTCTAACAACTGACGACGACCGTCGGACAACTGACGACGAACGTCGGACAACTGACTCTGACAACGAACGTCTGACATCTCACGACTGACATGGCAGAAGGAAAACCTGATATCAGAAATTGGTGCCCTCGTCAGCACAAAAGGTGGTGTACTCAGCACAAAAAGGTGCACGTGTCAACAACAAAGCAGCGCAGCAGCATGTACGGATCGGCAACAAAGCAGCATGTACGGGTCAGCAGCACAGAGACACAAATACAGCAGCAGCTACGACGAAGAGACAACACGTGCAGCCACATGTACATGTACACACAGAGACACAAATACAGCAGCAGCTACGACGAAGAGATAACACGTGCAGGCGCAGGTACAACAGGTGCATGCAGGCCGGCCAGCTTAGAAAAGGTTGTAGGTAAGATTGTACGGGAGGAGGCACCTAACAATATATAAGTGAGGCATGGGGTTTGTTTGAGTCTGATCTTGACCAGATTCAGCTCAAAATGAGATGTACATGTACATGTAATTCAACCTGAAGTGGCATTGGACCAGTAGCAGCAGATGCGAATACTAAGTCTTATTGATGGTAAACCTGGCTAAGTTTGTGCACGGTAGATAGGGTCGAGGGATTAGACTCACCGATGCACCCGCCGGTTTCCGTTTGTCCTGTGCCAGTAAAGCCGGGCTGACAGGAACACTTGTAGCTTCCTCTCGTGTTTGTACACACCGAATTATCAGCATCACATACACCAACAGCAGGTACGGCAGCGGTACTGGATATATTGGAACTCCGGCATTCGTCTATATCTGTGAGCGGCAAGGAGAGGGAGGGAGAGAGAGGAGAGAGAGGAGAGGAGAGAGAGGAGAGGAGAGGAGAGGAGAGGAGAGGAGAGGAGAGGAGAGGAGAGGAGAGAGAGAGAGAGAGAGAGAGAGAGAGAGAGAGAGAGAGAGAGAGAGAGAGAGAGAGAGAGAGAGAGAGAGAGAGAGAGATCGACAGGCAGACAGACAGACGGACAGATAAACAGTGATAGATGGAGAGATAGATAGACACAGAGAAAAAAACAGTGACAGATAAAGAGAATATGAGATACAATTGAAGAGTAGTCGAAGCGTGACAGGCGCCAAACTTGAGCAATTTCGGTTTAAAATGATAGCTTGCATGCCATCCTACCGGTAGGACCTAAGAAATCGAACTGCAAAAGGGCTTGTGGTTGAGAATTTTATTGAAACAATTGTTGAAGTGAGGTCTATATAAGGCAAAGTAATGGCGCAAAATGCAAGACTATGTCCAGAGCATTGCAGATGTGCAATTTTATCACTTGTCAAAATGGCCGCACATGCTCCTGTCGGAGCGCTAGAAACTCTGTCCAAAGTGAATTTTGACCATGGCACATCGATCGTGGTGAGGTCCTAATGTTTTTCTCAGCCTGCCATGGTTGTGGAATGCAAGATTCCATACTTCGTTTCCATGGTTACCATGGGCTATTGTCATGGAATACTGTAGTATGCTCTGTACGATCACGTCTAAAATTTGTGGACGCCTTCATTAGCCCCTTGGCAACAGTTTAGGGTCAAGTTTAACCCTTAGGTGCCGGTAGGTCGATTTTGACCTATGCCGACAGTGCATACTAAAATCGAGCACAGAGCCAGTCTCGTACATCGCAGGTGCCTGATTTTTTGTACAGAGACCCTTCAGTAGCTGGCCTGTAGATAGCAATAGAGAAAGTAGGGGGGTTGCATTTGAAAAAGTCGAGTCGTGATCAACGACGATCGCGCAGATCAGCGGAAGTCAATCGAGCGTGGCAGCCTACGCACGCGTCCCGCAACATGAACAAAACGTTGCTGTTTCGCTTCGTTTTCGACTAGTACAGTTCATGGCTACTACAGCTGACCTCCGTCATGGATGCTGCAGGAGCGCTTGAGTTGCTTGAAGAGCTGGAGGCCGATGATGCCCCTGTAGAAGAAGAATCAGAAGACGACGATGGTGAATAATCTGACGCTCCTTTCTCTGACGGAAACCTGCCGTCATCAGTTGAGGAAGACCGACTAAACGATGATTTGGTTTTCGGTGAAATTCTTGAGAACAGCAGCTCTTCAGATGAGGACAAAATTTCCGACGATGAGCTTCAAGAAGCTGTAGGGCGAGGGCAAGCGCAGCCAGTTCGTGGACGTGCTCCGCTCGCGCTGCGCGGAGGAATTGCTCGCTGCGCTGGTCGAGCTCAGCCAGCTGATCGAACAGCTGATTGTGGCGTGCGTGGCGCGTGTGGCGGAGGCTGTGGCGGAGGCCGTGGACGAGGTAGTGGATTCGGCGTGCTGAGTTGTGTTGGCGACCAAGATGTTCTTGGACCAGCGCAGTACCCTGACCCTATTGTAGATTTTTCTGACTTGAAAATTCAAAAATCGGATCTTGCTGTGTATTGCCATTCAGAATACATACTTTTGTCGCTACATCATCTAAACGGTTGCGGAGATATAGGCTTTCCAAAAAATTGAGCCAAAACTACGAAAAATCTAAAATTCAGTCAGGCACCAAAGGGTTAAGGTCTATGCTAGAACAGAGGCCGTGCAGCATGTCTGTGTATGATGGTCCTACTGGTAGGTCCTACCGATAGGACGAGGGCCATGCAAGCTATCATTAGATATCCTTAGCTAAAAACGCTAACGTAAACGCAAATCTTTCCGTACTTCGGATCGTTCAAGCTGACTTTTCCCTCAGCACAATGTACGTTATAGTTGAGAGGAAGTAGTCGTGACAACCATGGCGATATGAATTTTCGTGGAAACAAATGCGGGAAATTCAAAATTTTGAACCAGGGTCCAGGGATTAGTTTGCTGTCGTTCCGAAAGAATAACTTGGCGAGGTCTTTTACTCTGGAATAGCAAAAGCACAGCGAAAATGAGTTTTCGCTGTTCCCAGGTCCTTGGAAAACCTTTCCTAAACGCAGCACCGAATACTGTAAGGGTTCTCCAGCTCCAGCACGTGTGGGAGAGGCCGATGAATTTCTTCCTCAGGAGTGCCGTGGAACTGGTCCTTTGTTTCCCAGATGGGATAGAGGGTGAAAGGCACGAAGCAGAGGACGCAGACATTGTCAACTGAAAGGCAAAACTCGCCAAAAAAGCTAAAATGTCACAAGAGGAAGCAATCTCGACGCTCATCGCGATCTGCACGTGCTTTTTATCTCCCGCCAGTTACAAAACAATGCGAGTTTTTGCATTTTTTGCAGAATTACTTGGTCCGCGTCAGCAATATTGTCGCTTATCTTTCGACAATTTGAACTTAGACTTTGGACATGAACGCGTGCACTTGAAGTGATAAAACTTGGTACGATGGACGGTAAGGTATAGAATGACAACTAGCTGTAAGGAATTTATTGTCCAAGGAAGGGTTCCTACTTTTTTCGGTCCTCCTCGTCGCTGCTCTCGACGCTGGTGACAAATATTTTTGCTCGGGACCGACTATCTTGCTTTTGCAAGCTCATCTCTCTACCTCTCCGCTGCCTGGCTATTATCTAAACAGAAGTCGATCGTGATGGTCTCCTTCTCTATAGGACTTCGCGTGGGCAGTACGACAGCCTGTGTGATTCAAATCAGACGCCGTTCTTTGCAAGATTTTATTTTGAACGACGACGACGACGCGTACAGTACTTGCAAATCTCCACGATGCGCTGGATACTCCGAGCGTTGAGTTGGAGGTAAGGGAGCTGAGATCTCAGCTTGACAAGCGATCCCTGAGGTGAGCGATCTCGGCCGTTCAGCAAAATGGAGCTGATTCCGAGTAGCCGATTACTTTCTTGTGGCTTGCGCTGCTCTTGCCTGCACAGCGTAACAAGATAATCTATTTTGATGCGGCGCTGTATCAATCAGAATCACCCACCCGTCGCTCTCGAAATCCACTCGAACTGTAGCTAGACCTTTCAGGTACTAGTAAACTAACTTACTAACCAAAAATTGGGATGAAATGGGCTGCCAAGTGAACTTTGGCGACATATAAACAAAGCTGAAAGATAAGCGACAATATCGCTGACGCGGACCAAGTACCATAACGAACGTCGGCCCGTTATTTTGAGCTCTGTTACGTTTTTCCGTTATCCGATAACGTCTTTTGTCACGGCTGGGAGTGAGTACCGTAAAAGTTAGCGTTATCGTACTTTTGCTAAGGATGTCTATTAAAGCTTTTTTCTGTAATCTAGCACTTTCAGCCAAAATTTGAATTTCACATTCAAAATCTGACTAAAACTACCTCAGGAATTGTGCCCATATATAGATGGCTTAGATACAAACTGCACTCTAAAGGAATCCATTTTGTGGCCAAAAGTGCACGGTTCGCACAGGAAAATCATCACAAAATTTAATAACTTTCCAAAACTTGTCCATGACCAAACACAAGCCAAAAAATGGATAAAATGCAACAACGGAAAGGGCAACTTACCAACACAACTACCGCTAGCTCTAGACGTGAACCCAGAATCACATTTGCACACAAAGGAGCCGTCGGTGTCCACGCACGAGCTGTTGGCACTCTTGCAGCGGCGCACTCCCGACAACACAGCCGCAGCACACTCGTCCACGTTCACACAGCGCTGAGCATCGGCAGGGTCCACGGCGTAGCCCGGACTGCATGCAGCACATGTATAGCCGGTTAACGGTGCCTTCTGGTCCACGCACTCACGGTGGATCGGGCATGGATGACCCGAACAGGAGTCCATGTCCTCCTCACAGAGCCTGCCAGTACGACCTGTATGCAGACAGGAGCAGGATCAATAAATGTAATGTGCACTGGGTTTTTTTACCATTTGCAGATCAGAGTGTTGTTTGGTGTAAAAAGGTGTGACTTGTATCCGGGAAAATACGTTGCTTCTCTTACCCCGGTCACATGTGCCACACTTCAGCAATGTGAACTGATTGACGGCATCCAGCTCCGGTATGCACGTGCCGTGACAGCTACATAGGGTGATGCGCAGCGCCGTCGTGGTCAACTGTCCGCTGGAGTCGACGGCGGCGAACACCACGGAGGCAACGGATGGACTACGCACAGCCGGTGTCCACTGGAAGGTCAGTGAGGACGCGCCGGTGGTCACCTTGTGGCCGGCGGAGATGCCGCTGATGCTCTGAAGCGTGATGTTGTAGATGGTGCGGCCGGTGTACGCCACGGCAGTGACCGTTACATACGATGTCTGCTGGTAGGTAGCATGCAGGATGGGCGGGTTGATCTCAATGATCGGCGGAGTAAGACCTATACACACACACACGGCGGGAAGAACAGAAACAATTTTATGCTCGGGAAAATATATACAACGGAACTCTGATAACCACGGGAATGACCGAAACAAGGGGCCCTCGTTTCCTTTATTTTGTATTTCACTCAACTCATGGTCCTTGTCTTGCAATACGGCTGTCCGCAGCCGACCCTGCACTAGCTATGGCTGATGTGAGGTGTGGAAAAAAAACAAGGGCATGCTTGTGAGCACATCTTACTCGTGGCCCTTGACGTCTTCTCAAAGTACATACAAATGGAATACAGATAGAGCTAAGACACCTAGTGGGGTGTATTTCTTACTCTTACATTGGGCAATCACCCAGCATCAGAACAATTTACAAGGGCTGAACCTGGCCTTTCTATAGTAATTTGAAAGCAAGCGTACATGTATGTATTTGCAGGTACATGTGCAGACAACAGCAGAAACACACGATATCAGTATGAAATTGAGTGCGTGGATTTGCATGTACGTGTAAAAGCAGACAGAGAGATGTGTGCGGAAAGAGTGCCTTGTAGAAGCTCTGAAGATGGATGCAGCTAATGGGATTTCGGTCTTTGACCATTTGGTGGTGGGTCTGATCTACTCACCTCCCACCGCTTTAGGCGCTGCATCTGCGCCTTGATCCTAGAGGGTGGTGGCGTTCCCACGGCGGATGCGGAAAACTCGGCTTCCAGCCGAGTCTCACGCGAACCGTGACATTTATTTTTATTATTTATTTTAGTGTTGAAACGATCTCACCGGATACTCGTTAGCTCGCTCGCCAGAAACTCGGCTCGTTTGTGCGACCAGCTCGTTTGCACTAACGAACACCGTACACTGTACTTCGTACACATGGCAGTACATGTCAACCGGGGAGTCGTAAAATATTTTACGACTCCCTGGTCGATCGAGAGTCCAGTCCCGCGCAAAGTGAAAATCACTCGCAGTTACAGTGACTGTATGCCTGCACGATACTTGAGTTGACAATAGTCGTTGCAGCTTTGGTGGACTCTACTGATGTCTTGTTCCGCATCTGCTGACCTGTCGCAGGATATGCTTCGGTCACCTCTCCATTCGAGTGAAAGTAAATAATTACGCTCAGTCGTTTGGAAGTAATCTCCCGCGATGCAGCGAAGACCAGGGCTACTTGCAATCTTTGCAAAACCGTCTATTCTTACAAAGGCTACTCGACGACGGCGCTGAAAAGACATCTCGATGTGGCAAAAGAAGGATCCACGAGCGGGATTCGAACCCAGCACCCCTGTCTTTCCGGGACAGTGCCCTACCGATTAGGCTACCGGGGATCACACACACTCATGGGTCCTTCTTGCTACACTGCTCCCCCGCCCCAACAGGCTGTGTCCTCACGCCGTACCTACTCGCGGGGGGTACGATGGGACGTGGGTTCGAGCCATTGCCAGGCGCCAATGTGGCGAAAGAAGGATCCACGAGCGGGATTCGAACCCAGCACCCCTGTCTTTCCGAGACAGTGCCCTACCGATTAGGCTACCGGGGATCACACAAATCATGGGTCCTTCTTGCTACATCGACACCAAACAGCAGTCCGAAGTGAAGCAGCAGCAACCCCAAATGCCAGCGGTGATAATTTGAACCAGCTGAAAAAAATCGAACTTAGAAACAAAATTGTTCAAAAAATCATATTTGCCACATCAATGAAACTCGTTAGCTCGCTCGATAGCTTGCTCGTTAGTGGAACTGATCGCTCGTTAGTTATAGATACGCTCGTTTCAACACTAATTTATTTTAAGATGGACTGCAGGGTCTACAGTACTGTCAGGTGCCGAAGAAATTCAGCCAGGTTTTACAAAAATCGGGACAGGTATGCCATGGCAAAATGTATGGAGAAGCAGATCCCAAACCTAGATTTTAGAGATTTAAAGTGGGTTTTGATCCTAAATTCGGCCCAAATCGGACTTTCAAACATCAGCGAGACTGTTTCCGATGAATGGACGAGGGACTACGGCGTCTACAGTATGTGTCACGTGCCGCCTAGCCTAGGCTGTTCCTATTTTCATGTACTACAGTCTATGCACAGTTGAGTCACCGTGTATACATTGGGTATGCTGTGCTTGGTGAAATCCTAGCCTGGTCGTTCTTCGGCGCCCGCCAGTACATGCACAGTATCACCAGCGCATGCTGTACAACATGTTGTACAACATGCTGTACAACATAGGGTCCGGCGGATTCTGCCGGCAGAAAAATTGGCAGAATTCGGCACTTTTTCTGGTAAGTTTCATGCATGTTTGGTATATGGATAAAAAAATGGAGCAGAATTCGAGGAGTTGCCCGCCATAAGGTTTGTATGGTTCTGCCAATTTCACTGCTTTTCGAGCAGAATCCGCCGGTCCCTAGTACAATATGATGTTTTCTGTGATTTCGGTAGAGAAACCAGGCACCTAGATTTAAATTACACCTAAATGGCACTAGAGTATGCACTGTATGTGAAGTCGGAAAACTGGTCACCTAGTTTTACATAATTTCCGCCTGAAACCCGTCAGGACCCTGGCACTGAATTTGTGATACACCCAAATTGCGTGGTTTACAGCGTCCTACAACAGCTGCAGCGTCACTAACCAATCTTCTTCTCCTTGGCAACGAGCGACGTCTGAACATCCCGGCTCTTGATGCCAAACTGAACATCGTTGGAAATGGCAGCGTCCACCAGACACGCCGTAGAGCCCTGGCACGCTTTCTTGACCTGCTCGCTGACGCCGCTAATGAGATCGGTCGCCGACGCCTGCGAGGTGATCGGCGTCGATGGGTTGAAGTGAGCGTAGCCTTGCCCGTCGGTGTACACAAACGGACTAGCTGTCATGGGCACCTGGTCTAGAATTAGAGCCCCGCACAATGAGCAGAACACAGAGACACACATGAAGAGGACAGACGGGTTCAACTATCGGACAGCTACTTACGCGTATGACTATGCCTGCGGTATAGAGTTCTTTCATCGTATTACCAAGAGTACATAACTAAAAGTGTGCAACTCGACGATCCCCCAGCCCATGGCGGAATTTTTTTATGACTTCAGTCTTTGGCGGCTGTGTGGTTCACTGATGCCATCATGCGTAGCCAGAGATCAAAGCACAGAGAATCTGAACATCACAGCTACGGCAGTCGAAGCATAACAACGAACGATAGTTTAATGTATCCTGAACCTGATGAACTCTCACAGTATCTACTAAGCAAGCGCGGGAAAGCATACGCACTTCATCATAGTGTCAGCACAAAGAAGGTGCACGTGTCAGCAACAAAGCAGCGCATGTACGGGTCAGCAGCACAGAAACACAAATACAGCAGCAGATACGACAAAGAGACAACACGTGCAGCCACATGTACACACAGAGACACAAATACAGCAGCAGCAGCTACGACGAAGAGACAACACGTGCAGCCACATGTACACACAGAGACACAAATACAGCAGCAGCAGCTACGACGAAGAGACAACACGTGCAGCCACATGTACACACAGAGACACAAATACAGCAGCAGCAGCTACGACGAAGAGATAACACGTGCAGCCACATGTACAACAATAGTTTTGCCAAAGAATGACGCAATAAAAAAATTCCGCCGTGGGTGGACCCATCGCAGCTCGAGATAGGAGTTGCACACTCTTGATAGCAAGTCACTCACAGAGTCCCACCCTCCATACAGTCAAACATGTCTAAGGCGACCGACCACTCAAGGGACGAGAAAAAGTGGTCGCCGTGGCCAGGTGGTCTTCTTATCCAGGTTCAGTGGGTCACGTGACCGTATCCACATGTGATACATCATTTTGATCAGTGCATCACAGTGCACACACCTATGCTACTCTAGCACGACTCATGTGCCTGGGGTCCTCAGACCTGTCAAATGTCGTGCATGCACCATGTACATCTACACTTCCTGCACTGATGTGTAGATCTACCATGCCTGGTGCACCATGCAATGCGTACATTTACATGACTAGCACTGTGCAACGCGGTCGCGGGTGGGTGGTCGTCGGTCGCGTTGAGCGAGTGGTCGCCTTATCCAAGGTGTTTTGAACGTGAATGCGTCCGTGACAAGGAAAAGTGGTCGCCATGGTTGAGTGGTCGTCATGGTCGAGTGGTCGCCATGGTTGAGTGGTCGCCATGGTTGAGTGGTCGCCATGGTTGAGTGGTCGCCATGGTTGAGTGGTCGCCATTACAGGTGTTTACTGTATCCGGCTCCCTCGCCCACCCGGATATTTTTGTGGAAAACGGATGTGTGCGGTTATGCGAGGTCTGACTGTACTAAATTTCGTTTTTGGTCGATGTATGTAGTCGTCGATCGCGTTGAGCGAGTGGTCGCCTTAGCCAAGGTGTTTTGAACGTGAATGCGTCCGTGACTAGGAAAAGTGGTCGCCATATCCGAGTGGTCGCCATTACAGGTTTTTACTGTACATGAAGAAATGCATAGCAAGCGACTTACAGAGTTGCTTGGCAAAGTCGATGTTCACCGGTATGGCGAGGTTCAGGGAGGGCAATTGAGAATCAATGTTGCACAGGCCAGTAACGCTGGCACCCACGTTCCCAGGCACTGCGGGGGCAAGAACACAATTCAAAACAGCAAAAGAATACCGAGAAGGCTGTTAGTAGTCCTAGTCATGCACCCTCGCAACACTCTGCCAACAGTCTCCGGGCTACGCTAATCACTGAAAAGGAAGAAAGTCATCCAAAATCGTCAGGCAAGGCCCATCCTCGGGCTGGTTTAGTCCTGGCTTATTTCAGTCATATGATCACTAGCTCCAAAGATGATGTCGTTTCCGTGAGTTGTTTATACCCGAGGTGTCATTACAGTCAACTTCGCTTATAACGACACTTGGCGGGGCATCACAAAGGTGTCGTTATTCGCGAAGTGTCATTATACCCGAAGTCTCATTTTATGTATTAGAATGGGATGGGACTTTGCCCTGGGCATGGAAATTCTGTCGTTATTCGCGAATTGTCGTTATATCCGCAGTCGTTACTAGCGAAGTTGACTGTATACACGAGGTTGACTGCACACACGAGGTTGACTGTACAATGTAACATAGATACATACAGCATTCACCAGCAAAGTCACTACAGTCAGACGTCGCTTATCCGGTCCTCTTTTATCCGGACCCCTCGCCATCCGGAAGCAAATCGCTGGTTACCGATTTACAGCATATGTCATGCATGCATACAGTACGTGTGTTTGATTATCCGGCTCCCTCGCCTACCGTATATAAGTCGACTTCGAATATAAGTCGACCACCCCAAATCCAGGAGTCAATTTCATGAAAAAAAAAGTTTTATAGCTCCATGACACCCACACATACAAAATGAATTCTCTGCGAGAAGAGATCATATCATGCCAGTAAGACAAAATCTGAACAAAACCAGTGTCGTCCAATGTTCATTCAATGTTAACTGCCACTGTGCTGCCAACTGCCACGTCGAATTTTATCGGGCGTCCTCAGTCTCATAACCATCTTGCCAGATTCCCGTATGTAAGTCGAGTTCCGTTTGTAAGTCGACCTCCAGCTTTTGGCGAAATTTCTGGCGCGCAGAAGGTCGACTTATATTCAGGAAAATACGGTAATTTGTTCACCAACGCACCTTGAAATGCAACAGCCAGGACACTGGCGTATTGCAAGACCACACAGGCACCAACAGCCCCGTTGCTTGCTACAAGTACGCCATCGACCATCGACAGACCATGAACCTGATTGGCGACGACAGTCGACAAGATGTCGAAGCCCTGGCGGTAGACCTTCAGCTCGCTGTCCTTTTCAAACACCTCGTACGTTTCCACGGTGCCGCCAACGGTCACTAGGTATAAAAAACGGGGGGGGGGACATACACACACACACACACACACACACGGCAGGGGCACAGCAAATTTTGAACAAGATGCAACTAGACGCCTAGCAGTGACGAAAGAATGAAACTACATGTACTCAGGAATTAATTCTCTAGATTCGGCGAGGCAAGTACACACACACACCTTGAAACCTTGAAACCTTGAAACTGCCACCTAAAGGTGATGCAGTGCCTCAAAGAGGCAAGGAGGGCAGAGTTACTTCTTGCATTTGTGTTGAGCCAGGTACTGGAGACGTGTGAACTTCCGAGAGCAGGTCGGGCATGGGATGGTGCGGCGCTCGGAGCCAGAGCTGCATGTTCTGCGGTTGCAGTTGCAGTTGTGCCGGCGGTGCCCAGCTTTGCTCCGGAAACAGCGGTCACAGGTGTGGCAGTGGTAATGACATTGGCTGCAATCAGGTGGGCGAGGTGCAGCAATCTCTGGAACTAGAGCGTCACCAAGACTGGGAGAGCAGCTGTGCACAGCAAATCCACCTCGGCTAGCAAACCAACGATGGCACGTTTCGCACAACACAGCACCGGCCTGTTCATGGATCGGCTTCAGTCGCTCTTCCCTGCATTTGTGCCGCCGAAGTCCGCTCTCACTGGCGAAGAGTCGCTCACAGATCGCACAACACACTGACTTGGCTGTCGTTTCAAGGCGTAAACGCCGTGCAACAATAGCATCCGAGATGGACTGGATCCACTCGCCACGTTCAGCTGCGAGGTCGTACCAACCGGTGTATAGACCGAACGCTTTGAGGTCATCGCGTACCACATCACACACACACACACACACACACACACACACACACACACACACACACACACACACATACACATACATACACCCACCCACACATACACATGCAAAACACACACATGCATAAAAGAAACACACACACACACACACACACACACACACACACACAAATGCACACAAACACACACACAAACACACACACAAATACACACACAAACACACACACACACACACGGTTTAGTCCAACTGGACCCTCCTTGTTTCCTCATACATGTACTTGCTCTGTGTGTAGTACGTACATGTTATGGCCACCCGGGTGATGGAGGTATAAGAGTGTGTGTTTGCCGGCACTTCCTGCAGTCTTCCCGTCACGTCCATCTCCGTTTGTATTCCATACATGTTCACCGCGGTCTGGGCTAGGGTTACCTCTCCGCTGCGCTGGAACTCAATATCCTTGCTGGTCAGCGTGCGCACGTGCGGGTCACCGAACACATAGCCTAGCGAGAGAACAGAAAAGGGGGAGAGAGAGCAAACGCACAGGCACACACACACACACAGAGGATGTCAACAGGATTGCATCGTCATTTGACCGCTTTGCACGGAGTTGTGCGCACACGACACGGGAGTTTAGCTCAATGGAGGACACGCATGAATCAGTGATACGGTCACAGCATTCACAAAGTGCAAGTATCTACGAAAACAAGATCAAACAACCAAGCACCGAGATCACTACGTATAAGGAGATTACCTCACTTCTACTCAATAGGTCAGAACCCCCCCCCACACACACACACCAGCCGATCTCCAAGAAGCTATTTCGAAAGTACACAGACTAGAGTGTGAAACTCTGCATCGGCTTCGGAAAGCGAACTCTGCTGCCTAGATCATTGAGCTGCAGGACACAAGCCACGATGCATGACACAAGCCACGATGCATGACACAAGCCACGGTGCATGACACAAGCCACGATGCATGACACAAGCCACGATGCATGACACAAGCCACGATGCATCAATACCACCCGTGACAGTGCTACTGCATCTAGACGACAAAAACGACGTGTGAAGGAAGAATTGCACCTCGCTGAACCTGCGTGCGTGCGGACTTGCACACTGTTGTTTATGAACAATGCGGCTGTGATTTTGTAATGTAGCAATTCCAGATGCTTACACGATGCAAAACAATGCGGAAGATCAGACTCGATGTGCTGGATTGTGCACATTTTCATCCTGCACTGGCACGTATTGTGTACAGCAGTGGAACTGCATGCGTCGGTTCACCATCGTATTTCGTTGTATACGCGGACGTCGCTTCACAGGCAGCAAATCGACAGGGGGCGGATCAACGATACCTACTACGGTAGTGGGGTTTTTCGCCACATGTGGCAGTGGTTGTGAAAGTCATTCCCTCCGCCGCACCGTTAGGCGCTGCATCGCCGCTGGGGTTCACCGGCTGTTAGTGGCCGCCGTGAGTTCCCTCGGGGAACGGACGTGATAATTTACTTTTTTATTTTTTTTTTTTAGATACAGTCAGACCTCGTATAACCGCACACATCCGTTTTCCACAAAAAATATCCGGATAGGTGAGGGAACCGGATGATCGAACACACACACACACTGTATGTATGCATGCCATATGCTGTAAGTCGGTAACCAACGATTTTCGTCCGGATGGCGCGGGATGCGGATAAATGAGGACCGGATAAGCGAGGTCTGACTGTACGCACTCACCCTGCTTGAGTGTAGTACGCTGTTGTGTTTCCAGCGGTGAGAGGCGGTTGCTGAAGAAGAACGCCAGCCGTCCGGCATGGTGGCACGCCAGCAGCCGGTCGTCGTCGTCATGGTAATACATCACGTACGCAGTCGCCGCACCGCTGGTAATGACGCCACCATTGTCGTCATAGCAACAGATCTGCAAAGCAACGGAGCAAATCAACAACCCAGCACAGCAAGTAGCCGCATTGAAGTTTCCAAAAGATCAAACAATTCCGTGCGAACATTATCACTTCTAAGTTACACTCGAATGTCGTATCATTTTGGCGCGGCAGAGTAACCAAGCCCAGATGGTCAGTGGAGTGGAGTCTGTCATTTCCCACCACCCCTCGTATCCCATACGCTGACAAGAATCTGGGTGCAGCAAGTTATACTCGCGGAAAACAAGGTGACTCACACTGGCAAGCTTGGCGTTGGTGTCCTGACCGGTGATCGGAGCTGTCCGATAGCAGTTGCTGCCAAATTGCCGCTTGTACGGCTGGAAGAGCAGAGACTCGACGACCGTGTCGCGCAGAGCCGGGCACTTGACCGTGACGTAGGACAGGTGCGACGACGGCAGCGTCTTGAGCTGCAGGCACAGCTCCGCCTGCCGCTTCGGCCCGCAGCCGGGCGTGAGCTTGTAGACCTTCTGGGTTTCCGCTGCTGCGGATATCTTGTGAGCGGATTCGGAGCCGGATTCAAGGTGATGTGTGGTTCCCGCTAGGATGTACGCCGGCCTGGTGGTACTGCCGCTGTAGGAGAGACCGGTGTGCGGGTAGGTGAAGATGGCGAACGACTGGCAGTCGTCACTGACCAGTATGGTCTGGAACGTATTCTTCTGCAAGGGCAGGGTGACACAGAAACACACGCCCAGACAAACACACAAACATATAAGCAGGACAGTATAAAGCAGTTTGAAGAAGGGCTGAGGCTTCCTGCAGCTTCATCTGTGAAAAGAATTCGGGTGGACACACCCATTCCCATAGCGCTGCACATCACATCCGAACCAGTTTAACCTCATAGTGCATTGACACATGGGGCTCCGTGCTCCCCTCCTGTGCTAGAATTAACACCATAATTATTTGGCATGTACCCTCACTTCGTAGAGCACAACGGCGCGCTCTTCTTCTCCGTGATGTGCAAAGTTGCACCTTCTCTCCCCCCTCTGTATAGAGGTGACATAACTCGCATCATTTTATTTTTTGGCGCTACACTCTGCGTAACGCCATTCACAGAGCACAATGCGCGCTACCTTCTGCTGCTTCTCCTCGGTGATGTGCTAGTTGCGCCTTTTCTCTCTCTCTCTGTCCCCCCCCCCCTTCTGCATACTAGGTGACATAATCCGCATCTTTTTTGGCGCTACACTCTGCATATATACTGCTCTTGTGTGGCTTCCACGGTATTCATTGTTATTACCTGACGATGGCCAAGTGCCGAAACGTTGTAAAAATAACGGAACTGGTTCGGATGTGATGTGCAGCGCTATGGGAATGGGTGTGTCCACCCGAATTCTTTTCACAGTATAAAGCAGTTCTTATGAAACACTACTGGACCATCCATAATTACGACTTGTATAGCATTACGATCATACGGCTGTCTACAGCGTTGGGTATTGCGCTCCTCGGCTTTCGTCTTGTTGAGCACTCTCGGTAGGCCGCTCTAGTGCTGCTGCATTACGCATTGTCCGCTACTTTTCGTAGTTAGAGCACTCTGGCGCTAGGTATCTTAATGTCTGTGGTGGCTCCTTTGCACCATGGCTGGTAGCTCGGCTTGCTTAAGGCTCGTAGCTGTACTGATGAAACCTTAATTAATAGCGGAAGCAGCTTGCTGTCTGCAGCATTCGGTAGCATTATGATAAACTCCTAGCCTGCTAGTATCCAACTCAGTCCTGTGAGACATTCGGTGAGTGCCCCCCCCCCCCCCCCCACACACACACACCGCCAGTTCACACGTGAAGCCAAGTTACTTTGAACCCTCCATCTACGTATATCATATGAAACGTTGAACGGATTCAACTCTTCTGACGCTTCCCAATTTGTACGACAGTATGGCTGCATTCGAGTTCCTGCCATTCACATTGGACGCCCTCAACCGGGGTCTCGTCAGCTACCGCCGCTCCTTACGTCGGGTGCCACCAAACATGAACTTGGCGTTAGTCTAACCTCATCAGTGGATACTGTACGCACACATACACACACATGCCCACACATACCCCCCCCCCCCCCACACACATACACACACATGCCCACACATACCCCCCCCCCCCCCCCCACACACACACATACGCACACATGCCCACATTCATACACACACATGCCCACACATACCCCCCCCCACACACACACACACACATACACACACATGCCAACACATACCCCCCCCCCCCCCCCCACACACATTCATACACACACATGCCCACACATACCCCCCCCCCCCCCACACACACACACACACATGCCCACACATACCCCCCCCCCCCCCACACACACACACACATGCCCACACATACACACACATGCCCACACATACCCCCCCCCCCCCCCACACACACACATGCCCACACATACCCCCCCCCCCCCCCCCACACACACACACACATGCCCACACATACCCCCCCCCCCCCCACACACACACATGCCCACACATACTCCCCCCCCCCCCCCACACACACACATACACACACATGCCCCCCCCCCCACACACACACATGCCCACACATACACACACATACCCCCCCCCCCCCCCACACACACACACATACACACATTCATACACACGCACGGCCATACCACCCCCCCCCCCCCCCCCCACATACACACACACACTCACACACACACACACACACATTCATACCTTCGTGACGTCGGCACTAGACTGCAGGTTATGCCAGGTGATGATGACGGCCTCTTTCGGCCGGAACGAGTGTGTCGGCTGATGCTCCTTTCTCACCACGCTCATAATACTTGCCATGACAGCAGAATGCAAGGTGCTGGTTACAACGGCTGTCGTTACGGTCCCCTCTGTGGGCGACACATTGGCAAGGTCTGTCCAGAACGGGGCCACGATGGCGTCGTGTTCCGACGTGTTGTTGAACGCCTGTGCACCGTTGTAGCCGGTGAACGACGTGAAGCCGTTCCGCGACACCTGAACAGTTTGGGAGAGGAGACATGAAGAGAGTGGGAGAGTGTGTGTGTGTGAGAGAGAATGGGAGATATGAACAAGTGCAGCTCTCGAAAACGACAAAATTGCACTCAGCGGTAGTCTCCCCGCCCTACAGTACCCAAAATTTAAGAAAGAGGGATTGGTGGCGCGACGCTGTGGCAGTCTGCAGCCATGCCGCTCGTCCCATTACCTCAAAACAAAGGACTCATTTGTAAAGAGAAAAGGACCTATAAGTTACTAGTTATGACCAACAGTCCACCAAGGTAACCAAGGTAACCAAGGTAACGAGATAATGTACAGTCACATAGTGCGACAACAAGGCACAAAACTGACAAGGATATTGAGACATTCGACCACCTGACAGTAACTTGTTGATCCTTTTCTCTTTTCATAATTATTACTATTGGGCCGATGTTACTATTGGCTCAACATCCGAGTTTTTATAAAGGCCTTTAGTACAACACTTACATAGAGATCAGTGTAGTTGGTGTAGCTATTGCCAAACATAAATCCAGACGGCAGAGGAATCCGGGTGCTTGCTGCCGCTGCTGACACAGTCGTTGCACCCGTCACTCTGATGATGGAGCTGGGAAAGTCTAAAACCATCCAACAGCAACAGCAACAAAACGAACAGAAGGTTGTAGTCCAATCAAAAGAGTCCCGTTGGCGTTTTATAAATAATCAACGTGCTTGTGTACGCATGCAGTAACTCATCCGACCAAGGGTCTTGGATTCACCGTTACTTATGTGCGCCAGCACGAAGAAGAATATGCAGCAGCGGCAGTCTTACCAGTGCAACCAGCGGACGTCGAATAGAACTGGGTGTCCTGAGCGGTGCACTGCATGCAGTGTTTGCCAGTGTGTCCCGAACGACACAAACAGGTGCCCGTTACCGAGCACTGCACACTGGAGGAAGACGCCGTCGGACAGGTGCATGCTGCACAAGCGCAAGCACAAATGCATTCACACGTACATGAATACATACATGCATGCGTGCACGCACACACACACAAAGGACACACCACAGGATTCCGATTAGACATACATCTTGCCCCAATATGCCTCTTCTAACCTCTCCGGGTTTTTCCGGGAAGGGAAGAAGAAGGATATTGACATTGCAGTGGTAGTGGACACGATAGCGTAACTTGTAGTTCCTTGGTCCTTTTTCTTTTCTATGAAAAAGAAGGGACGATAAATTTCGGGAAAGTGCAGGATTTCTTTCTTTGCCTTTCTTCCTGCACACTCTTCCAGGCTGCAACCGGCTGCTTAGCACTATGCTCATGTGTACAGGAGGCAGAAACCCTGAAAAGGGCTCGTGCTTCTAGCCCTGAATGATGGTGGGGTAGAGTTCAGCAACACGTGTGAGAGCGAGGAACACATGGTCTGCTGCAATGTCCACATTGCCTCCTGCCTCACTATAATTATTGACAAGGGTTACGCTCATCAGACATCTACTTCCTCCGCGTCATTAAAATTGTCGCTTCGCACATCGCAATATTTGTGACTTGGCTCGTCTTAGTCAGACTGTCGGAATCGCTGTTTTCTTTGTTCGAACACTGGTGTGACCCTTCCTGCGCAATATCTACTTGTCACTGAAGCCGTGGTGGTGTCGGACTTTGTCGGAGCTCTCTTCCGCACCAAGCAAATTCATCGCGCTCCGCACTATTCCGCCCCAGAGCGCATTTCGTTTTCTGGAGTTCGTGCCGTCCCACATCGTTCGCGTGGGCATTTGTCAAGACTGCAAGCTCGGGTATAAGAATCCTGGTATCGCTCCTGAATACGAACTGCTGAAGTTGACGATGGCAAGAATAAAGTGGTCTCAAATTCCTAAAATGCGCTACTTGTGGCGCATGTTGCTGCGAAGGTAGCAGGTCTGAAAACACCAACAAAATCAGCGAAGCGCTTGCCAAGGAAAGAAGGTGCGGAACTGCTTACCCTATCCCGCTGGAAGGTCGTTACAGTGTACTTGAAAAATGCTAGCTTGCCTTCATCGCCTGCCACCTGGAGGCATGGATCGCTTGAAAACGAAGTTTCTTGACCTGAATTTGAACGCGCGTCTTGTTCAGTTTATTGTTGAATGCTGAAGGGCCTGCCTCAAACTCTGGTGAAGACGTTGACCTTAGCTGAAAGTGCAGCGAAGCGGGGGGCCACAAACTAAAGCTTGGTCCGTCGACAATGCTCTGCCTCAATTTCTAGCTGATTTCTTTGCCCATCGAGTGGACAAAATAATTTCGAAAAATCGCTCCGGGAAGCGACAATTTTAATGACGCGGAGGAAGTACCCACACACTGATCTGTATTCTTATCCACTCTCTGTAACTGATTGACGGCCATTCCGCAATCCGGGACGCAGCAACACAGACGACAAGTAATTATTGCTCTTCATATCACCGCATTTGAAGAAACAGAACAACTAATTTATAACAACTTGTTTATAACAACATTGTCTCCTCGTCGATTGTTTAAATAATTTATAACAACTAATTCATACGTATAATTATCTGGACACCCATTGACCATGATGCTACATGAGGAGACAATAGTGATGACATTTTTCCAATGAGACCAATTTTATGACGCTCCATGTTACTGAAGGACTAACTTCGATCATTGGTTTTGTAGAGCCCCATTCTCTAGGAGCTGTCTACATCTGCTTTGTTTCAATGTCCAGCATAAGCGAACGTGTGGATCAAGCATAACTGCTTGGTTGACGCTGCCGCGGGAATGCGTATAATAATAATAATAATTTATAACAACTAATTTATAACAACTAATTTATAAAGCCTGGCGGAAACTGGCAAGAAAATGACGAGCAACATTTACAAAAGAATTCTCGACAACACCATCGTGCACACACACACACACACACACACACACACACACACACACACACACCGACACACACACACCAACACACACACACACACACACACACACCGACACACACACACCGACTCACACAAGCTCCCAGCGTACCTTGACAGGGCATCGACGGCGCTGGCTCGTAGTACCCGGCTGCACACTGGCCACATTGTCTACTGGCGTACCCTGGCTTGCACCGACACTGCCCGGTCTCCGGATGACACAGCGCTCCGATAGAGCCAGCCGCGTTACACGAGCACGCCACGCATACATCCTTCTGTTTGTAGTAGCCGGTGCTACAAACTTGGCATTTGTCGCCGCGATACGGTGCACTACACTGGCACGTTCCGTACAGCGGGTGACACTGAGAGTTGGGGACGACGCGGTTCGCCGGACACACGCACTTGGTGCACTCCGAGTCGGGACCGGTCGGCTTGTAGAATCCCGGCGTGCAGTTGTCGCAGAGCTTACCCTGGTTGTTTGGTTTGCACTCGCAGGCACCGCCGAACGCGTTGCACTGCTGCGAGCCGTGGCGGCTGCACAGGCATGGCACGCAGCGACGACCAGACGGATCGTACTGCTCAAACGCACTGCATCTCAACACTGTAAGAACACAACCATGAGTGTATGAGTAAAGCACAGAACACAATCATGATTATGAGCAGGACACAGAAATAGTCATGGGTTTGGGCAGGACACAGAAATAGTCATGGGGTTGGGCAGGACACAGAAATGGTCATGGGTTTGGGCAGGACACAGAAATGGTCATGGGTTTGGGCAGGACACAGAAATGGTCATGGGTTTGGGCAGGACACAGAAATAGTCATGGGTTTGGGCAGGACACAGAAATGGTCATGGGTTTGGGCAGGACACAGAAATGGTCATGGGTTTGGGCAGGACACAGACATGGTCATGGGTTTGGGCAGGACACAGAAATGGTCATGGGTTTGGGCAGGACACGGAAATGGTCATGGGTTTGGGCAGGACACGGAAATAGTCATGGGTTTGGGCAGGACACGGAAATAGTCATGGGTTTGGGCAGGACACAGAAATAGTCATGGGTTTGGGCAGGACACAGAAATAGTCATGGGTTTGGGCAGGACACAGAAATAGTCATGGGTTTGGGCAGGACACAGAAATGGTCATGGGTTTGGGCAGGACACAGAAATGGTCATGGGTTTGGGCAGGACACAGAAATGGTCATGGGTTTGGGCAGGACACGGAAATAGTCATGGGTTTGGGCAGGACACGGAAATGGTCATGGGTTTGGGCAGGACACGGAAATAGTCATGGGTTTGGGCAGGACACGGAAATAGTCATGGGTTTGGGCAGGACACAGAAATAGTCATGGGTTTGGGCAGGACACAGAAATAGTCATGGGTTTGGGCAGGACACAGAAATAGTCATGGGTTTGGGCAGGACACAGAAATGGTCATGGGTTTGGGCAGGACACGGAAATAGTCATGGGTTTGGGCAGGACACGGAAATGGTCATGGGTTTGGGCAGGACACAGAAATAGTCATGGGTTTGGGCAGGACACAGAAATAGTCATGGGTTTGGGCAGGACACAGAAATAGTCATGGGTTTGGGCAGGACACAGAGCGCACACAATGACAGGACACAGAGCGCACACAATGACCGGACACAGAGCACACACAATGACAGGACACAGAGCGCACACAATGACAGGACACAGAGCGCACACAGAGCGCACACAATGACTATTCAAATGAACAATCATGGGCACAGGCAGGGCACAGAGCGCCGACCAGATGGACTGTACTGCTCAAACGCACTGCACCTCACCGCTGTGAAAACACAATTGTGAGCGTGAGCATAGCACAGAACACACAGAATACTGACTTACAAATAATTATATCATCATCATGGGTATGAACAGGTCACAGAACACACATAACAAAGACTTTGAGTGTATGAGTTCAAGGACCCTGATGTGTAAATGGCTGCTATTGTGTCGCACACACCCACACACCCACCCACCCACCCACACACACACACACACACAAACACACATATGCCCACACACAACACAGATGCAGTCCCGGACTTACAAGGTCGAACACACACGCGTCCGTCCCCGGCATAGCCCGACGGACAGGCACAGTTGAACCCACCGGCGAAGTTAACGCACTTTGCTCGGCTGTGACAGTACTGCTTCTGTTCAGCACACTCGTCCACATCCTTACAAACCCCGTCGACCAGCAGATGTCCAGGTCGGCATGAGCACGTGAACGCACCATCTGTATTCTCACACACGGACGATTGCACGTCGCAGGTGTGAGTACCCGCAGCACATTCGTCCATATCCACGCAGACAACACCGTCGCCTGCGTAGCCAGCACGGCAGCTGCACGTGAACGAACCGGGTACGTTTGTGCACGTGCCCATGTTGGTGTCGCACTTTGCGGCCGCCAAGCCGTTCGTGCACTCGTTCACGTCCGAGCACTCAATGCCGGAGCCGACGAAGCCCGTCTTGCAGGCACACGTGTACGTGTCGCCCTTGTCCGTGCAATCCGCGTCGGCGTGGCAGTTGTCCACTCGTAATGCGCACTCGTCTGTAGGAAAACGTACGACACGCATGCACGAACATGCACATATTTACACACACAAGCATGCATGCACACATATATGTCGTCTCGGAAGATTGAGAACGAACTGCCTCTTCTATCCTCGCCACGCCACACCTCAAAACGAACTAGTCAGTGGTTTTTCTCTAGAGCTAGA